GCGCGGGGAGGCGGGCTGCCGTCTGTTGCCTGCGAGTGCGGCATTACTGAGGGCGGGGCTGGTCGGTCGCCACGGTGACGGGTACGCGCATTGCCGCCAGAGCCGTCGGCGGGCGCGGCTGGCCCTCGGCCACCGGCGAGGTGCGGGTTTGCCGTCCCCTGGCAGACCGCGACAGCGCTCTCCCTGCGGACCTGGAGGCAGCACGCGATGCCATGCGGGATCGACTTTGGTCCCGTTTTCAGATGGGTACGAGCGAGGCAGGAGGCCACCGCCCTGTCAGGGGCCTGCTGGGGGTGCGAAGAGGGTTCGCGCAGCCTGGCGCCGATGTGGGGTGTGCCCCAAACTGGGTCCGGCTCCGAACCTGGGAGCCCGAGCTCAAACACCGCTCTGTTACCACAAGACTCGAAAGATAGCGTTGGCTTTATCTTTCTCGGCCAAAGAAAGTAATCGCCCCGATACTGCAGTGCAGGCAGCCTCTCGTGATCGTGTTAGTTAGCATTTTATCAGAAAGTGCGGACTGAGTATGATCTAATCCAAGAAAGCTTTTCTAAAAAAGTGCCTAGGTGCCGTGAAAGTAAGGGATCTGGTGGATGCTAGCGCAGTTCCGCCTCCCTTACGTCCTAAGAGACTCAGAAAAACTTTTCAGTTTCCAAGTGGGATCACCTCTGCTGAAGTGGAGGGTGTTTAAGGTCACACTGGGAAGCAGCCTCTTTTTTTTTAATCGCACACATAACAGCTGTGACCACAGAAAGAGTAAAAAAGGATCAGAAGCACTGCTACAAAATTAGCCAGTGTGTTTATTCACAGTTGACACTACCTGGGAAGGAACCACCATTTGCTGGGGAACAACATGTTCTTGACTTCAGTTGCCCCATTCTTTAAGACCTTTAGTACAATAACAAATATATTGAATCACAAAGTGAAAACACTGCTCCAAATGATAGGAACTTCTTTAAGTTACGCTTGGACTGTAAAGATCTGTTATCTGTATTATCCTGTTAGATATTTCTTACTAACTAGAAAATCACACAGCTTTGTGAGGTTCCTCTTAATGGAAGGCAGCAGCCCTAGAAAAAACAAAAACCATGTACGCACACACAGATATATATGTATATAAACCCCCCTATTATTAATGAAACAGCTGGTGGGAAAACTTTGCTCATATATCAGCCTTACCTGCAGAACCACCTTCTTAATAGAGGAGGAATTTAGGATACGTCACATGTTCCACCAAGGTTGCCTCAGCTGGGAAGCTACAATCCGGCTGTAGTTGTGGTTGTAGCTTGTGGACTGTTTACATATTTCTGGTAGAAATTGCCTTAAGGGCAACAAATAAATTAGTCGCAGGAGGTAATCAGAAGATACTGAGGTTTTGGTTTTACTGCTATGGGTTTATGTTTGAAAGGTATAGGACTAAAATAAAAGCATGTTATCTTAATAATCAGTTATTTGAGACCCACAGTTATTCTGTGGGTTAACTTTTGTAGGAGATGACTTTATTGGTAGGGGTTCTTTTTGCCACCTGTGATCTCAGTTTTACAGCCTGAAAGTGGTTCGATTTATATCATCTTCAGAGTAGGTGTCTGCTGCTTGGAAACATTTCAGAATTATAAGTTCCATTGAATTATTCCTTTGGCATTTTAAAATGCCTTACAATATTTTTAGGTCTGGGGTATAGATGTTCCCTCTGAAAGGGCAGAAAAATGCCTGGGAAAAGCATCAAGTCGCTTTGAGACATTGGAGGTAGCAGACTGCCTTTCATCGCTTGGAAAGGCTGTTGGGAGGCCAGGTTAGGAGATGAAAAGGCCTTTAAGCTCTGCTGCACAGCAGGCTTTCCCTGCATCACTTGTAGAAAGGCTTTCCTCAAATATGGTTTCATTCCTCTTAAGCTGTTAATTTGATGTGGATTTTGTTCGTCTGCTAGGGTTCTTGATGGTGGAGCTGGGTGATAAAGGGTTGACCCTGGGATGCCGTACACAAAATTGCAGAGGAGGTAATGCTGTGCCGCCCCAGGCAGTCTCTGCAGAGTCACCCGAGGCCACAGGCTGGAGAGGCTCCGCAAAGCTTCCCGGTTCCACACAGCTGGGGGGAAACTGTCTTCAGTGTGATAAAGCTGAGAGAAATACATGCAGAGCCTGATTTCTGGATACTTCAGCAAGAAGTTGTAGATTTTACTTATGCAGCAGTGGTAAGCCTCGTTACAAGGAGAGTAATTTGAATAGAGCATGATGCATCCAATGTTTTCATGGGCATCTGTAACTGCATCCAGATAACCACCCATCTCAAACAGCATAGATTCTGGATGGTTGTCTTGGTCAGTACAGTTTGTAGCATGGCCTTTTTGGACTACTCTGCCCGAGAAACTCCTCAGTTCATAGAAGAGAAGGTGTGTATTTCGGAGAGTTGCGAGAGTTGCTGTTGATCTGTATGGGAAAGCAAAGACCCTGCAAAATTCTGCGTAAGGCAACCTCGCTTCTTCACCAGTCCGTATGTGGTAGGGACACTTAGCACAGATGTGGTTCTGTCTCTGCCAGCAATAGGGCTTTACCACAGTCCCCTGATTTGTCAGATATTCTTGGAAAATGGTCTTCTCTCCCAGATTCATGTTCTGTTGAAAAATCTCCCTGTTTGTGTGCTGTATAGCTGACAGTCCTGAGTGAAAAAGGAAAGTAATATTTTAATTCAGCCCTTCAATTTGTTTTGGACTTAAGCTGCAAAAATAATAGCGGATAGTCTCTTCAGAAATATACTGAAACTTGTAGCAGCATCTAGAAACTTGGTCGATGACACAGAGAACAAAGCTGTCTTGCAGCCTGGGAACACTTTCAGTTTTCACAAACTAGCCTTTTTGCTAAAAACACGAGTAAAGAATATTTCTCTGGCTTCTGCCCTCTTACCCTAGACAGAAGAAACTGCATAATAAAAAACAGCCATGTTTTTCAGGAATTGATTAGCAGATGAGCCTTATGCAATCTGGCAAAACAAACAAGTAAACACCAACAAAAAAAAAGGCATAATTACCATCTCAGCAGCTCCAGCTCAGGGTAATAGTAAATATTTATCTGATTTTCTTCACTGGCTTTTTAGGATAGATTCAGAGTTTCCACTTTAGTGATATTGGAAGCTTTTTTTTTTTCCAAAATTATACAGTGAAGAAGAAAGTTACTATTGCCCCCCCCGGTTTTGGCAGTTCAGCTGCAGAATGATCTTTCCCAAGTGCGGTAAATTTGCTCTAGTTGTAATGGTGACGGCAGGCAGGCTCCTTCAGTTGTTTACAGGTGCCAAGTGCTAGGAGACGAGAATACAAACAGGATTTTCTTTTGTACGGCCAGCCACCTGTGGTAGTTAAGCTTCTGTTCTTTGCCTGTCAATATTAGTTTCCTGTCATCAGTGATTAAGTTTCCTTTGTTTCTTTAGTGCTGTTTTGATACAAGGTTTTTATAGCTGAAGGATGGATGTTGTTCTAATGGATATGTTAGTGAATTTGTTTCCAGGTGATTGTTATCTCTGTGTATGTCTGTCTGTTGTGCCAGCTGGGTAGACAGCTCCTGCTGTATTTCTGCGCTCGTACACAGGCAACAAGGTTGTCCGTTCTCTAAGAAGTTTGTGTGTGTCCCTCTCTGAGGCTGTAATTCAAGCAAGCAGTGGGCCATTATGCTACATTATGCCTGCTCTGCTTGGACAGGGTTCCAGATGACTGCAAACACAAATTTTGTGTAGACGAACAACTCCTGACTCAAGCAGATAATTATTTTTCTTCACTGCTGCTCTAATTGAGCTACTCATCATCCCTGGGTCCGGTTTAATTCTGTTACTACTTTTCTGACTATGTACAACTTTTCCATCTCCATGTTTTATTGCAGCTTGCTTCTGTATTCCATGTTGTTTTGCCCTCTGGCTGTCAGGATTTAATTTTCTTCTTAAATTACTAATTTGGTTCATTTGCTTTGTTTTCCACTCCTGACTCTATGCCAACTTCCATGTATTTTCCTGTGTTGGAGCTCTTTCCTGACCCAGGCCATTGTGCCGTTCTCATTCAGGTTACTTCTAAAGATTGGCTTCCTGACATCAGGAATGCTCTACTTGTCATTTTTGATGTTTCTGTACATTTTTGACGTTCAGTTCTAGTCTATAGTGTGCATTGCAACATAATCACGGCAGCAGTGTGTCTCAGAAAATGAAAAATGCGTTTGACACCTGACACAAAAAAAGAGCAGGTTTGAAGAAGGGAGTGTTTTTCTTTGTAGGGGGATGTTAGGAGAGAGTTATCACCACCTCGCCATTTCTCCTGTAGGTTGCCAATATTATTAAAGACAATTTTAAAAGCTGCAAACATAGGGCAAGGTTCCGATTCCTTCTGTCTCTGCTGGTATTTTTGCAGAGCTGGAATGGCCGCATGATGGCAATGTTGCACACCAGAGATGTATCCCATGTTACGCCTGTTGATCGAGGCAACGGCTTGAACTCCGTTTCGGTGTGTTTAAACGGGTGCCACCAGAGACACTTAAAATTTTATATCTCCCCCTAAAACTTGCCTTTTTTTGTTTGTTTGCTGGTTTAACCTGATCAAAAGCTAGAAAATATTCAGTCTTCTCAATTGATAGTGTTACATCCTTACAGGATGAGAGTCAAATCCCAAACTACCTAGTTTGATGGATTAATCGGAACAGCGTTCCCACAACCCGAGTGCATTTCTGCGTGCGCTGCACCTGCCTTTGGCTTCTTTGCCAGCACTGTCCTGGTGAGCCGGCTGGGGCTCGCAGTGACAAGGGCTGCTCGCCCTGCCTCTGCAGGCTCCAGCCTTTCCACACGTCTGAATCCTCTGCCAGCTCTGACGAGCAGAGAGGGCCGGGGAGCAGAATCCCAATGAATCTGTGAATATAAATGGCAGAGGCTTCTCATTTGCCATGTACGTCAGTCCCATAACAGATCATTTTGGGTGTGCAAAGAGGAAGGATGTTTACAAAAAGTGCAAGTTGAGCAAAATGGAAGAAAGCTGACCATTCATCATGTTCTCAGAATGGACACATCTGGTTTACGAGAAAGCAGAAAGTTGTTTTTTCTTCCTTTTTTTTGCACGATTTTTCTAAAGTAGAAAAAAAGGTGCAAATGTGTTACACAAGATCTCTTAAACTGATGAATATATATGCATGTATATATGGATGTGCGTGTATGTATACAGCTGTGTGGATTAAGTAGCTAATGGGAGCACTTACCAGCACTTTTCTCTTGCAGAAAAGAATTCGTTCCCATGCACAATTTTATTCAGTAATACTGAACAGCTCAGTAGCATTTGTCATCTTCAAAGCAGTTTATAAATCTGACCAAGTGTTTAAAATATAGACTGGTCTAAATGGCTCTCTTGCTGGTATTTCTGCTGCTTAGTGTCACTTAGATCCCACGCAGGGGAAATTGTTAAAGTGGCTTCTGACTCTCAGGGTGCCTAATTTGTCACAGTGATCCTGATGCATCTGCAGAGGTAGTAAATGCTGCAGACTTTAGCTGAAGCTAATAGTTTATGTAAGTTGGAAATCTAGAATTCAGATGGTTTCAGGCTGGGAAATAGAAGGTACTCAAAATTACTTCTCCCTTTTTGGTAATTTTAGTCTTGATTTCAGTGTTTGCAATTCTGATTGGGGGGGAGAAGAATTTTACCTGATCAGGTACCTAGTTTGGTTCTGTAGTTTGTTACAAGATGGCTCTCCTGATGCTTGTTGCCAGTACCTCCTATTGGCACTAACCAGTTGTAAAGTGCTTTGAGATCTTCAGGATATGTGCTGGACTGTGGTGCTGTGTATAGCTCATTCTGTTTCATTCTCTTTATCCAAATCAAAATAGTCAATGCCCTGGTATAAAAGCAAGGTATCCAAACTGTTCTTTTGCTTTGTCTGGTTGTCCCATGTGTTTGAGCAGAAAGCTTGCCCGCATCTTCTCTAATATTAATCTTTTCAACACACAGCCCTTTGTGAGTTCATAGGCTGTTCCACATCCTCAGAAGAAATGCTTGCTATTAAATATGCCATATGAGCCTAAGGGTAGGTCTTTTAACACTTGAAGTTGTTAGGAAAAATACCAACTTCATCTATCAATTTCATTGCATCAAAACATCATCCTGATACAGACGATCTTGTCTAATGGATACAATTAGGAATTTAAAACATGTTTTAACAGATCCACGTCCCCCCGTTATATCTAAAATTATAATCATATCCCTGTCCCTCCCAACTATATTTGGAGGGGACAGGGATATAATTATAACTTTAAGAAATTGTTTCGCTTATTACTAAAATGCAGCCATCTTTGGGGCAGAGGGCAGTAGCTTTTTAATAGTGCTCCACAACAAGGTATAAATGTTTGCAGGAGGAACTGGAGAGGAATGCTTTATCCAGTTAAAACCACAGGAGAAACTTATGTGGTCAGTACATAATTACTCAGATTGGAAGTTAGCCAGGATACAAGCCATATGTTCTGCTCTGAGGGAAAAAAAGTGTAATGATCAGGGCTGTGAATTTTTTTTATCCAGATATTAACTAAAACCTGGTATCTCTTCAGGCTAAAAAGCACACAGAAATTCTGATCCATCCCAATGTGGCCAGTTTGGACCTGTTACTGGTTTTACTGATTTAAACTTGGGATACTGTGATTTATGAAGGTGTCTTTTGGAAGCAAAGTTGCATGCATTGATAAGCCAAAAGCTGTTTTTTCTGATGTGTGATTATATGGAAGTATGATGATTTTTTTACTCCCCAAACTCAAACATGATCTACTTCCATAGTCTAGTACAAGTGTAGTTCTCGTTATGTCAGGGGATCTGGTGCTTCCCCACAAAGTGCTGCACTGAGTATAAGAATGGTTCCTTGTTTTGCTGCTGAAGTATGAGTGTTGAAATTCTGTTGCATTTCTTAGTACAGCTTGGTTCAAAATAATCTCTGTTGGAAAGCATTTTACACATGACTTCATTCAGTAAGAAGTTTATCTGAGTTCAAAGTACAGAGGAGTCACATGGTCCTTTAAACAGCCAGAGACTTGACGTTCTTGTGCAGTCCTAAGATTTTAAATCTAAGAAGCAAAGGAAGTGAAGGAAGAAGCAGAATGCTATCCACAACTGCTAATAAACACATCCACACAGACATTTTAAACCTGAGCTGTTGTGGCATAACTTGCCTCCACACTCAACAATCTCGAGTTCATTTGGCATGTGAGTTTGGCATATCTAGGACTGCAGGAACGCTGGCTTACAGCTCCAGAGCGGAACCCTGGTATTTTGCATTCTGCCACCAGGCTGTAAAGATTAGTCAGGATTTAGGTCCCGAGTTTGGAACGTTTCCTGCTCGAGCTTGTGTGAAAGTCAGACCTTCACAAAACCATTCCACCAAACCTTCCCCACCTGTCTTGTCCAGCCTCAAAGTGATTTAAATTATCACCTTGCTTCCAGAGATTTTTCCAGAGCTCCACTGCTTTATTTTGTTTGTTTCCCTTTCTCTATCTTTATGTCTAAAAAGAAGTATTTTTCCCTCGTCTGTTTATTCAGAGTGGAATTTAAAAACACAAATTTAGTTAGTTTTAAATCTTCCATCCACTGATAAATTTTATGATGCCTCTGATAACAAACAGCATAATGAACAGCAGCTTGCCTTCCACTTCTGTTACATTGGCATGTACATCGGCTAATGGTGATCATGAAAATTAAATTCCTTGCTAGGCAGGCAGAGCATTCTGCTATACCCAAACTGTCTGTAATCTCAGAGGACTCGATATGAAACTGTGGTTTTCATATGCTGCCTGAAGGGCAGCAGGCCTCCTGAAGTTTCGAAGGTACTACAGGGGCTTGGGTCTTATTTATCACCACCTCTTTGCCTGAAAATTATTTCTGGGTTGGGTTTTTTTGGCATGACTTATAATGTCAGCCCTAATACCACCTCTGAACTGTTCCTTTTGGTAGCAGTCTCTCAGCTCTCTGTTAGCTGGGCAGGAAAAGGGGCTGGCTGCGACGTGTTTCAAACCATGCAGGTCCTGATCAGCTGATGGGTAGCTAGCCGAGCAGGTAGCAGATGAGTTATGCTGACAAATATTCCTTAGTGGGGGCATTTTCTTCCATCTCTATTTGTCTGCTGATTTTCCAGAAGTTAGTAGGAACCCAGCGTATTGGTGACCTCTGTTCATTTCTCAGCTGCATTTGATGGGTTCAAGTGAGTAAATGAGTTCAGACATTGGATAAGATGGAGCAGGAAGGGAGCAGAAAGACAGCAGGATTGTATAGGCTTTGTTTCTTTAGGATTTTAGGCTAATAACCCTACAGAAGCAGCAAAAAAAGAGGAGAGAAAGGCCTATTTTATATCAGTTGAGTCAGAAGGTCTCAGCATGAATTGCCTGAATTGCTTAAGAATGCTAAATATATAAAAACAATGGAAACTTTGCTGGTTCTTGTTGAAGGTGGTGTCAATTTGTTGGGTACTATAGCACTACACAGATCGACTCACTACAGAATTGTTCTTTATACCAGAAGATCACCTACTATGTGCATAAACTTTAGATGGGTTAAACCTTACGCTGTGGATATACACTGAATATTTGAAAATGTAAGCCAGCAAGAGCCAAATGGCATGTCCATGGAGGTGTAATGGCCTGGGACTGTAACATGCAGAGGGCCATTAAGCGATACTGGGTATTTACGCACTTCAGCTGTGTAATTTCTATTTTTGCTGTATTAGAGGAATTGAGAATTAGGCCCCCTCACCTTGGCATCAAGCAGGGGAAAATATTTTGCATGTTGTGGATGAATCCTGGAGACTGCAACAAAGGGCGGGTGATCTTTTGGCTCATATGCTCTTAGTTGTAGCAGCTACAACAGGCAGTAGAGTAAATGGCCGAGGAAAAGAGTTACAGCCAGAAACTGCATGATCTTGAATCAGGAAGACCAGACAGTTTTAACTGATGTCTCTAGCACCCCTCATACTTCAGTGTTTGCTCTCTCCAGAATCCATTGCACTAACAATGTTGATTTATTACTTTTTTTTATTAGATAGGTGCTCATGACCTGAATTTGGCCATTAAATAGAATTTTGCTGTTGAATTAGGCCAAGATTAGCAAAAATAGATATGCAATATGCTAGACTGGCCTGTGAGCCACTTACCCTTTGGTTCATTTAGTTTCAATAGTCTATGTAGATCACTATTCAGTGTGATTATAAAACTGTTGAGGCAAATGGCCATAACTGATATTCAAGTGTTTTCTTTTCAAAGGATCATGCTGTTCCTTTTGATGGCTTTCACTTGTAGACAGGCAGACATCTAAAAGGTCCCTTGAAAGATTTTCTGGGCTTGGAGACACATATTTGATTCTAAGGCCACTTGAGAAGGTGTCATGAAAAATGGGAACCTGAAAACACAAAGTGAAGAAATTATAATCATATTTATTTCAGACTCAGGTTTTATTTGCTTGTGAGAATTCTAGGCGATGGCCTGTTTCTACAA